ATATTTTATAAATCAAATTCTATTTATTTATTTGTTATTTTCCGGAATTTAATTTTAAAAGTTTTAAATTATTAATTTCGATCGAAAATTATTTGAACAAATTATTTTATGCACCTCTATTTTACAATTTATGTCCAACAAACAAGCCTAACCCATTTGTTTTCTTAATTGACCTATTATGTTTATGAGGCCCAATATTCCTATTTACCCTACAATTGTTTCCTATAAATACCCTATGAATCCCCAAAAATTTCCCACACAAAAAGGTTAGTCTTATTTTCATCCTCCTTTGTTTCATTATTTTGCTTAATGTTAATTTAATTGTTTTGGGTTTTGATTTTAGTATAAAGATTATATTTTTAGTATCAAATTATATTTTGATGGTATAAAGATTATAAATTTCAGATTATATTTATGTTTTAAATTTTCATATTTTATGAATTATTAACCTAGGGTTTTAATTATTGAAAATCATGATTTTAGGGTTTTGTGAACAATTGATTTAGGCTTTTATAGTAATGATGTTTTGTAATTTTGGTGATTGTAAATAATGATTAGTTTAACTTAATTCCAGATTATTTTGAACATGTAAATTCGTGTTTTAATTTTTAGATTTTCGTACGTTAATATTAATCTCGTCTTAATACCGATCAGATTATGAACTCATCCTATTTTGACAAAAAAGTAGTTTTTTCATGTGTAAACAACGTTTTAAGAAATATTATCCTTGAGTTTGATTAATAAAATTTAGCCTCTAAATATGATTTTCGGGCAGTTTTTGATTTTAACGAAGTTTTTTTATACTTAAAATATTATCCTTGAGTTTGATTAATAAAATTAATTATGTTTAAAGTTAATTAAGCATAAATATATGTTTTATTGAAGTTTTAAGTGCTGGAAATAGTTTCTAAGTATTAGTTTTGATGTTTTATAAAGAGGGTTTAATCACCCATTAAAAAGGGAGGTAATTAGGGGTTTTAAAATAACTCTAAGATTTTTATTAAACTTTAAACTTGCTGTAATTTCACGTATAAGAGTGTATTTTAAAGTTTTTATGATGAAAATTTAAAGAACTATATATAAGCCTTTAATTTTAACTAAAGGGAAGGTTTTAAAGTGTTGTTTGATTAGGATTTTGAAGGTTTTAAAGTAAGTTAGTATTGCTGTAAATTTAATTGGTTGGGTATTGATTGAGATGTTATTGTTTGGTTTAGGAGAGGAGTTTATTGAAGGTGATTTCTAGTTAGTAAAGTGGCATACTAATTCGTTTGCTCAAGGTACGCACAAGTTACGAAACCTTGCTTGTAGGTGCTTGTTTAAGGACGGATCGAGAACTTAGTATCATGTATAAGGATGAATGGGTTAAATTGTTTGGTTATACATTGTGGATTTTATATGATGTGCACTATTTTATATTGCAAGTATTATTTGTGCTCTAATTATGCAAGGTGCGCTTAGAGGCAAAGGTATGTGATTGGTGTAAAGGTTAATTTATTACTCATTCATAATTATGCAAACAGGATGAGTAAAGGAAAAATTCAAGTCTTATAAGACAAGGTTAAGGTTTTGGGGTTCCTTATACACTCAAGGTGTTTATACACCGAGGTAGTAAAGGAATAATTAATAAATGTTGTTTGTCACTAATAAATCAAGAATTTAAATTGAGAATTTGTCATGTTTGATTGAATTGTGTTTGGAATGTTTGTATTGTAATGTATATGAGTCGTCACCAAGTCTAAACCTGTAAATCACGTTAAGTGCAAGATGGATGAGCAATAAAACTCTGGAATGGTGCACATCTGGAGTAATGACAATCAGGGGTTGGGGTACATGGGGTATTAGCCGTGTACTTTTATCGAGGCCGTCTGATCTACGAGTCTCCTATTTCAAATATTATTTTTCTAAAACTAGGAGTTAGGTGAGATCTCGTACTAACTACGGTCACGGAGTCGCACCCGTGGTCGTTGGATGTTTATTGATGTTTCCGAAAGGAGGCATGGGGTTTTTCTTTTATTGATGTTCCAAATGGAGCATGGGTTGGACAACCTTGTCTATTGCATAATCCAATGAATAAAAATAATGATTTACCTATTATTAATTAATGGAGTCTTAGTAATATAAATAGTTGAGTCATGTGTTGAGTTTATAATTTAATGATGCATGATGATTGATTATTAGTAGCATGTTATGGATTTATTATTTGTTTCGCAGCTTGTATGTACTCAGCTTTGCTGATTGCGTGTTTTTGTGTGTGTCTTTCTTTGGTCATGGCCTTCGCCTTTCAATGACCTTGTGACGATCCAATTTTTACACTTGTAGTATTGGGGAGCAGATTAACCACAGGTTCTTACATACGCAGCATTCGCATCATGGTTGTGGGGTTTTGAGTAGAGAGTTGGTTATTATTCACAGTTTATTTCTTTTCATAAGTTTGAATTTATTTAAACTATGGTTTTATTTATTTATTACTTTTGTGGGGTTTTGAATAAGGGCCTTAAGGGTTCCAAGATGTAAGATTTAATTTGGTTTTGGTTGTTGGTTTTGAAACTTATATATACTTGATTTAGTTTTCCGCTGCTATTTTCTGAAAAAGCCTTAACGTTTGAACACGTGGCGGTAGCACGCCAGTAATTCTCTTGGATTTTGTTCAGGGTATTTACAAGTTTTAAGAGAGAATTATTGGGGTGTTACAGGTCTGGTGGCAGTGGTTCCTGGGTTAGCTGGGGTTTGGTTTGGTGGTAGTAGTGCTTCTGGGTCTGGGTTTGGGCGATGGCAGGGATAATGGTTGCTGAAACTTAGGTGGTGGTTGTGACTTTTTTGTTATTTGAGTTTACTTTTATTTTTTTATTTTGGACAAATCAAATTGTGACACATGTAAATTAAATTTAATAAAAATAAAATTATCTCTTCAACGATGACTGATCATTGGAGACTATTAAGAGTAGATTGAGTATAAAGGTCGGATTATTAAAAAAATAACTCGTAGGTGGGATTATTTTTATTAGCGGACGCCCCAAAGGTGGGATTATTCGTGTAAATTTTCCTATGTTCTTTGAGTGTGATCATTGTATACTTTGGCTATAACTATATGTTCTTTAAAGGATTTATGTATTCGTCATGTGCATTACTAGATATATAAATGGATCAAATTATTGAGATAATTAAGTTTGTACATTTGGGTCGTCGTTATATCATAACTAGAGGTGCTAACGATCATTGGGCTAGCTAGTAAAATAGGCCAAAACCCAATTGGACGGATCCTATAAGGTCACACAAAGGGCCTAGATCGAACACGAGAGGACGAGACCCATGACGGGCCTCATCCCCTAGTATGATCGGCCATATGGAGGAATAGGATTATAAATAGACTAAATGCCTAGGGTTTTTTAGTAGTGCAATTGAGTGATCAGTTTGATCAAACCCTAATTAGCAAACACGAGCCCAACCCCTCTCAAACTCTCTCTCTATCTCTCTCACTCACTCACTCTCTCTTTCATGGCTCTCTCCTCCTCCCTCGGCGCCAGTGTGGTGGTTCATGGTGGTCGGTTTAGTCCATTAAAAGTGGTGATCGTGGTTTTCTTCTTTCACTCGACCAATCTAGCTAGTATTGGTGGACGACTCATTCGAATTTCGTGGACTAAGTAGAGGAGCGACGCTTGGGGCTCCATTCTCTCCCTGATTTACCACTCAAATTGCTACTTGGTATTCACGCTTCAAAAATATGATTATGTGTCTTGTGTGTTATGCATGCGAACTTGGGATTAGGTGCTTTATGAATACGATTCATGTTTTTCCGCTTTATAGTACCTATAAACTCCTACAGTCATTGGCGAAGCCAGGATTTTTACAACGGTAGGGCACTGTATCATCTAAAACCTTTTTATCAAAGAATGTCCATAATGTGAAGACTCAAAATTACTTAGCAATCGTATTTGTTTAACCTTTATTATTCAAAAATACATCAAATACTACCCCTATTCAAGGCTTTAAATAATAACCTCGCTCATATTTTCTTAGATCTTTTATAATAGGTTTGGAATCAGATAGATCTTTCGTATCAAATAGGATTATCCAAAATACTAATTATAAGAATTTATATAACTAATAATTCAAGTATACTCATACATGTAAAAAGAAATATTAAAAGTAAACTTGACTAGTTTTCAAGTTTTGAAAGCATATTATTATATCATCAGATCAATTTCGAGGTTGAAAAGTAATCTTGTTCAATGTGATCAAACTTTTATGTTGGTAAGTTTTTGTGTTATTTAGGAAATTGGATAAATAGGACATTAATAGAAAAGGAAAAAAAAAGGGGGGGACATTAAGAAGAATAAACAATGAGAGGGAAAAAAATAACAAAATGTTGGGCAAGAGATTAGAACCAATGACCTTTGATTGGAAAGGTAAAGCTCGCACTTTATAATCTATTTAAACAAAATTTTGACAAACATTTTTTTTTAAAAAACCTGCACTACTACAAAAAAGGCCTTAGAGAACTGTTATAATAGACTTTATAGGTCGCCTTAGAGGCGTTCTTCTGCTAAGCGATGTATAAAGTATAGAGAACAGGTCAGTGAGGCGTGTTATATACTACTAAATAGAGAACGATTGTTAGTCACAACCGTTCTCTTTTCCCTTCTTAAAAACGTAAATTAAGGAAGGAAAAAAGAAAGGTTAGGCTACTTAACCATTCTATATTGCATTACATTATAGAACGGTCAAGTTAGATAACAGTTCTCTAATTTTTTTTTAAATAAAAAAAAAAATCCAGCCATACATTACATTTTATTGCTACTGTATTATTCCTTTATTTTCCTGTATACCTGTATTATTTTTCGTATTCCTGTATTTTTTTTTTGACAGAGATTATTCCTGTATTTTATCTCTTACATATACCCTGTAAGAAAAATTCCACAGTTCCAGTATAAAATAAATTATGATCCTGTATGTACAATATAAATTCCAATATTATAAAATTAACCAAATATATTTCCAAATACAACAAAACCATCAAAATATATTTCATATATATAATTTAAAATATCCAACCACAATTAAACTAAATCATTCACCCGAAATTTGTACTATACAACAAATACGAGAGTTAAGTATCAAAACACCTTTCTAATTAATGGTTATTAAAAAAAAAAAGACTATGCTTAGATATACCAATACCATATTGATCTACAATTCACATAAATCATTGACGACGTCATTTGGTTGATGGTATCCAGTAACATACGAAATCCACCTTTCCCTAAGCTCGTCGATCATTTGTTGAGAAAATGCAGGGGAACTTGCTTGAAATATTGCTAAACAATGTAAAATACATGCCTATTTGTTAATGTACAATAATTTCATCTTATTAAATAAAACTAAGTATATCAAAATATAACATTTTAAACCGTAGTTTTCAATTTGAGTACACAAGAAACCTCCATCATAGAATACATCCCATCCCAACAAAATATATAAACAGTCTAAGAGCATAATAAGCATAATAAACAATTCTAATTATGCCTGCATCTTTACAAAAAAATCTGCTATTAATGGCTTTACTTAGCCAATAGCTATTTCTGCTAATCACCAGATTAAACAATTTTAATTCTGCTTTTAAGACTAATAAGAAAAACCCCATACTTTTAAGCTAAGACAACAAAGAGATCATCATTGAAATGTTCTGCTATTGCTATTGAGGCACCATCGTCATAATGTGCTGCTGTTTTTGATGGGCATGATGAATCTGCTTTTGTTGCATTTCTAACTTTTATAATATCAAGTAGCAGGGCTCAGAGAAAGATGGAAAATGCATAACAACATATACCTTTAACCCATTTGCTCCAATTTACAAGTTGGTTTGCATACAACTTCATATAAAATTTGCAAGATGCATGTACATTAACTACTCAAGATACATTCAAACTAAATGTCGTACCTTGTCGGGGGTGATCATTTGCCTTTATTCAATTGTCTCAATCATGTAGCGACAAACGTAATATCCACTACCACTGCAACCAGGTTTGTAATAGGTCTAGCATGAAATGTATAGGCCAGGTATAAAACCTGATGTAGTCACTTTCATTACAGTATTATCTGCATTCAGCTATGCTGGGTTGGTTGATGAAGGATATTGAGACCTTGCAGATAAAGTCAGAAAAGAGATGCAAGAGAGAGGTGAGATGAAGAAAGTTGGATGCAATGGTCATTTAAACTATTTTGTGTCTAAATATGTGAAGCATAAAAAATGTGAGTGTGTGAGATGCTAGCAAAGTTAGCTGGAAAATGTTTATTTCAGTTTTCAGTTTGTAAAACAGAGAAAGAATTAAAATTTAGTTGCCTCAATATCCTCCAAAGCTAATGGTAAATAAACTTAAAATTTCCAGCCCTTGTGAAATGTTTTAGCCATCTAAATCTTAACCACTACAACTATTTATGATTCCCTTCTCTTCTCTCTTCACATTCAAAAATTTCAGAAAAACACTACACACTCCTTACTCATCATTGTAAGCATAGTAATAACCATGACTACTCTTATACATTACTAGAAATATATTTATCACAATATCTCATAACCAACCCTTTTATGAAAGGAAAGCAAAGTGAATCAATATTTCTAAATATTTTGCAAAGTATTTGAAATTAATAGAGCACAATAATCCAGTGGTAATCAATTTCCCCCCACCCCTTTTTCTTTATCTGATTAGGGTTCTAACTTTAACTTAGGTATGATTAATTTGGCTAAAATAATTTTGATTACTACTGAAATAAATTTAAATTTGACAAAATTAAGGGTAATTTGATTAATTTTCTGCAATATGACTGAAATATTTGCATAAAAACAATCGACTGAATTTATCCCTAAAACTAGAACTTTGAAGTTTTTTTCAGTTACCTAAAATTCGAATTGCAATTTCCTTTAATAGATGAAATCTACGAATTTACTTCTATTTCCATCATAATTCGAATGATTCATGCAATAAGATTGACAAATTATCAAAATCCAATTTCTCTATGACAAGAAAAATTCGAACCTTTGTTTAAAAAAAAAATTCGAGCCTACCTCAATGGCTCAGCGAACAGGTGTGGTGCTGCAGACGATGTGCGACGGTGGAGCAACGGTCCGGCGGTGGAGCAGCGGTCCGGCGGTGGAATGAAATAGTAAGCGGCTGGCGGTTTTTTGAATACTGAATGTCGACAGTGGAGGTTCCACTTTTTGAAGTACTTTGTTTTTTTTCAAGGTATTCTATTGAAAGTGATGAGCGCATGCTTCAATTTGGGTAAATGGTAGTACATTATTACTCATATATAATTTTTTTTTTTTTTGTAAGGAGTACTCCGTACATAATTTCCTCTTAATTTAAAGAAAAAAAATACTTGTAATTAATACTACTGTACAGTACAAAACGGTTGTCAAGATGACCGCTCTATATCATTTATAATAATAAATTATTATTTTTTAATCAATTGAGTAAAAACAAATAGAGAACGGTTAACTATGCTAACCGTTCCATATGTATTGACATACAGAACGTCTCTTATATAAATACATTCTATATTCTCCCGGAGAACGCCTACCTTTAGTAACCGTTCTATATCTTGCGATCTCTAATCTAGTTTTTGGTGTAGTGCTGGCAGGGCACGTGCCCTACCAAGACACTTTATGGCTCTGCCATTGCCTACAGTGGTATCAGTTAGCCTCTTGCATGAACACGCTTGATGATGATAATAATACGATTATTTGAAGTCCATGTTCTTAATTTTATAATCAATTAAGAGGGATAAATTAATTAAATTATGGTTCAATTATTATAGGAAATATTAGCTGCAACAACACCAACTATGACGAAGGTGCGTGTAGCCGCACAACCTTTTAAGGTTGCACTCAACATTACAAACTATACACTTGGGTGCACATAACTAGTGGTGTTCGCAGTGCGGTTTGGATCATAAACCGCACCAAACCGCAAAAGTGTGGTTTGTAATTTTTTCAAACCGCACAGCTAAATACGGTTTAACGTGGTGCGGTTTGCGGTTTAACTGTATTTTATTAAAATTGTAATTATTCTTTTTAAAACAAAACTCACTACTAGAAAACAACTCATTTTCGACGAAAAAATTCCGTCGGAAACTCCTTGAAATCCGTCGGATAAGGGGTTTCCGGCGGAATTCTATCGGAAGTGGTTGTTGGAAACGACTTAGTAGGAAAACCACCTTTTCCTCCGTTGGAAACAATTTTTCGACGGGATTTCCGACGAAGGATTTCCAACGAAATTTTTCGTCGAAAGGGATTTTCCGGCACCAGGAAAATCCGTCAGAAAATTCCGACGAATACAAAACCTGTCGGAAATTTACGACAAGAATTCCGTCAGAAATTGCTGCAAAAAAAAAAAAAGGCGTCCAGCCACCAGTTTCACCACTAGAAGCCACCATCGCTACCATCCCCCACCACTGCCTTAACCCACCATCGTTACTAGCCACTAATTTCGCCACCAATACTTTTATTTTATATTATAATTATTTTTTTACAATTCAAATATTAAACTCTTTTTATTAACCTTTAATTAACTAATAGTTAAAGATTAGCTCATATATTTTAGTTCTTTTATATAATTTTAATGAAAATATAGTATAAAAATCGCAAACCGCATTAAAGTGTGGTTTGTGGTGTGGTTTGGTCTCAATATTTTTGGAAACCGCACCAAACCGCTAACCGCGGTTTGGTAATTTTTAAAACCCGCACCGCAATTTTAAAACTGCAAACCGTACCAAACCGCAAAATTGCGGTTTGGTGCGGTCTAAACCGCACTCTGTACAACCCTACACACAACAACATAAATGACATTGGAATAACTTAGATTTCTTCAGAAAGTGGAATCTTTAATATTTTTAATGCTTTTTTATTTTTATATATTTTTGTTTAATTCCATTCTACTTAATTTTCTATCTCACGTAACTAAGTAATCTTTTCTTCCGTTAATTGTTTTACTTTAAACACTACGCAATTTCCTCCATTAAATTTAATTTTTCGAAAAAAAATCGCCATTATTTTCTATTGTTTGTTTCTTCAATTACTTTTTTTATTTATTTATTACATCTCATGTGATTGACTTAGTTTCCTCTTCCATTATAACTAATTTTTTTCCTTTTAAATTATTCTCTCTCAATCTCCACAATTAAAGTGTTGTACATCAAATCAGAAAATCAATTCGGCATACTCTAAAACCCAATTATAAAATTGTTGTTTGAATTAAATATTTGAATCATTTTGTGCGGCTTGGTGTTAGAAAGTTACTTATGTATCCTAAACTCTGGTAGAATAAAGATTTTCGAATGATTTTTATTTATTTATATATTAATTTAGTATATGACTAAATAGAGAGGAAAAGGAAACTAATTCAATCATGTGAGATCGATATTAGAAAAAATTAATTGAAGAAGAAAACAAAGGAAAATAATAGCTTGAAGGTATCCGCGTAAATGGTGGAGGATAAGAAATGCTGAAATAGAAAAAAAAAAAAAAAGGAAGGCTAATTTAGTCACGCGTGATGGAAAATCATTGTAAGTTTCAAAAATGTTTAGACAATTATAAAATAACAAAGATTCCACTTTTTACCATATAACCTTAGTTTATTAGTGTCATTTATGCTAATATTTTCATCCAATTACATAGTTTGTGCTATGGACCGCACCCTTAAAAGGTTGTGGTGGTACACGCACCTTTATCATAGTTGGTGTTGTTGCGACCAATTTTTCCATTATTATATTTAATGTGATTAAAATTTTGAAAATAATTAAATGTGATTTAGTTATATGCTCAAATAGCCATGAAGAGGACCGAAATTTAGCCCTATAATGTTCAAAATTTTCGAACCCTAACCCTAAGTGTTTCGGGTATTTTTTGGATTTCCTGGGATACTGGTCACGCTCTTCTGGCAATGAGTCGGTCCAACCTGCAAAACAACGAATATTCCGATCAACGAAATATTCGCCTCCGACGATCAAGTCAGTGATCAGAACGGAAAAGGCTAGAGAGAGAAAGTAGAGAGAAGTTGGAGCTATTTAATGCTCTGTTGTTTTTCAATTGTCTGAATCCCCCCCCGTCATAAATGATTGGGGTATTTATAGGGGTGGGACTCGTGCCCCTCTCTAGGGTTTATACCCTAGATTTGCGTGACGTGATTGGCTGCGCAATCAGCGAATGCCACGTGCCACTCTGGGGGCGCCGTTTTGCGGCTTTCATTGATATCTTTCGGGATTTGGGCCCTGACGTTGTTAGGGCTTTATTGCGTGCTAATTTTAAAGAAGGAACATATTGCCTAAACGCATGGCATCTTCCCGTGGTGACACGTGTCACCCTATAACTGGGCCACGTGTCACTATGGGATTGGCTTGAGACCTTAAGGACTCTGGATCGCGTGGCATCTTCCCGTGGTGACACATGTCACCCTATAATTGGGCCACGTGTCACTATGGGATTGGTCCACGTATACGAGGTATTTTTACCCTCAACATTTGCCCCTCAGAGGGGATGGCTCGTACGCCTATAGGCCGGCTCCTCTGACCTCGAATAGCCTTGGTGCGTACAAATGTATTAGAGTTTTGTCAACTTTCTGTCCGCCTAACAATTTTAGGGCGAACGCCTGTCTATTCAAATGGCGCGGACGAAGGTAGGCCGTCTGATTTTTGCGACCGTCTTGCCATTTCGGAGAGAGCTTTAGTTCTGCCAACTTCCCTTTGGACGCGTCGTTTATTAGGTCATCCTTTCCGCCTAATTTAACGGAGTTGCTCCTTGTCCCTCCAAATTCTAGGTCACTTTTTCAAATTGTAACCGTTCAGCTAAGTTAAGCGGGAAAGATAAATTTACTATCTTACCCCCATAAATTTTCCCTATATATATAAGGGGTTTGACTTCATTTTGGTACTTTGGAACTTTACATTTTCTAGAGAGAAGTCAGAACTTCTAGAGAGAGAAAGTGCGTTTTCCTTTGAATCTTCAAGAGCTCCGCCGTGCATTTGAGTTTTCCGGTGACATTTGTTGAATTTTCCGATCAATCTTCAAGGCTTTCAAGTTTTCAACACGTACAGAGGTAGGCCGCCTGTTTTTCTTTTCCTTGCCTTTTTATTTCTTTGTTTATTTAAAAGCTGGCTCAACACTCGGCTTCGTCCGTTTCTCCTCATGAGGCCAGCCATTCGCCTGGGACTGAGGAGTCTAGAGTGGACGGAGACGAGTTGTCTCCTTCATGGAGTGGGTCCATTTCTAGTGCGTACCAACTCACATCCACCCATTCTTCTCTGTCCCTGCAGTCGAACATGGCACGGACGATGCAAACGCACGATCGTCATGCGGCCAGAAATCCAGACGGAAGTCTGGTAAACCCTAGGCCTCTTTATGACCCAAATAATGTTAACATAGAGACCCCTTCTACCACTCCTACGACCGCTTCCACGGGCACTCACTGCTCGGTCGTGGAGGTAACTTCCTCGTTCGAGGAGCGTCAAAGAACCTAAGGCGCTTCTACTGCAGGGGGAACGTCCGGGCGAACTCCGGGGTTGAGGTTCCCCCAATATGCCAGCTCGGTCATGGATGGGGCCGAGTTGCTACTCTGTGAAGGACCTCCTTCTTCTTCTCGGGCGAACGCTGATACGTCCGTCCCCACTCCCTCAGAACTCTATCTCCGATATGGCAGGTCGGACAGACCGAGAACGGGGGTTTCAATTAACGAACCGTCCGACCTGCCCCCTCCCAGAGCAACTCCTTCGGGGAGTCAGGCGGCCGGTGCCAAAGACAAAGGCAAAAGGCCGCTTGAAGATATTGCCTCTCCTTGAGGCGGCCATAGTTCTAGGAGCCGCAACTCAGCGGAGGCAGCCGACCTGGACAGGGTGCTGTCTTCCGAGTTTGCGAGCGCTCCTCAACGAGAGGAGGATGAAGCAGAAAATGCGGCCGAGGGTGGAGCGGCGGCCGCAGAGGGCGAAGAGGCGGCCGAGGAGGATGTTGCCAATGTTGACAACTTCAAGGATCCGTACGCCTGCACGGTGGGTAGCACATCCTTGGGCTACTTGAACTACAAATTTGAGGATTACAAGGTGTAGGGAATAATTTCAAGCCTTTAAAATCCCACTAGCTTGAACCCCACTGTGATCATACACTAAAGTACGGTGGCGTCCAAAAGGGAAGAAGATAGAGCAAAAGAGTCGCGAACAAGTTTTTAAGGAACTTGTAAACCGTTCACGAGGTGAAGGTTACACCCCTTAACGATCCAAGAGATCGTCAACTCCATAAGGTCATGAACCAAATAAGGGTTCGGGGATGAAGGTACAAATCCAACCTAAAAGAGATTGAACCTGCCCTAATAATAGGCCTCTACTTTATTCTTCTCGTATTCATGTGCGCTTTCTG